TGTGCTTGAATTAGCATGTCAAAACACTGGAAGAAGCACATTCATATTCATATCCTGAGCACAGTGAGAATAATTGACATTATTGCTGTCCTATGCTGTAGGAGATACTTAGGCCTAGGGATCAAAGGGTAAGGCTTTCTGATAAGGGTGAATCCAAGATTTTTTGATGCTGAAAAAAGTTTGGAATAAAAGTATGGGTGAGGCCTCGTTCAAAATGAACAGATGATTCTCAGAGTTCAGGCCCACTCCAAACAAACACAGGTCAGGTCGATCATTTATTCAGCTACAACCACAATGAGACTTAGTAACACCACAATAGGCTGCTGGGAGAGAAAAGCAAACCCTGTGAACTATGATAATGGCCAGCATGGAGAGATATGCCTGTGGGTGCAATAGTGGCACAAATGTTACAGGGGTAGCCAACTGATTTCTGAGTGGCTTTAAGGCCTGCTCCACAGGAGGAAACACATTATCTGGTACTGTAAATCTGAACAAGAACCCATGGCTGGGGAGCTTAGAGGCCTCAGGTGTTATGTGGTCATTTCTTCTAGGATAAAAGTTTCCATCCTGGAGTGAAGCTTTCAGACTCAGGATGTTCTAAAGGGAGCCTCCTTAAAATGCAGGACATAAATGACTCAAAATCTTGAAGAAGGTCCTAAAACTGACCAGATGTACTAGGCACCTCCCTCCCCAGCTTATATAAGCAGCAAGGACACCTGTACGACACTCTCAGCTCAGCTGTTACCATGCTGAGTGGGCTTTTTGGTGATAAAAGCTGTCTTTGAGCCACTTCTGCTCCTGTAAGTAACCCCTCTACCCAACATGTTAGGCTTTGGTGGTACCCTTATTTGTTCTATTACTTGTTCTCTATCCAGGTTGTGCAGACATTTGTTCATGCCTCCCAGGAAAATGTCACACACTAAGGTGAACCTACTCCTATTATTTTTTTAAACGGACAAAGTATCAAACTGCCCTTTAAATACAGGTATCTTTACCATAAACTAATGCAGTGTTCAGTCCTCATGAGAAGTTTCTTTGGGCAGCAAATAAGACTTAAAGCGGAAACTCTCATCTGGCCAAAGTGAAGAGATGAAGAGAATAAGTGTATGTGGAATGCTCAGCCATAAAGGAGACATCTACACCATGCACTCATGCCCAAGGCTAGAGTGGAAAAGGGGCAGGAAAGATTTTCAGAACCAGTAGGAAGGACCAGGTGAAGCAGTGCCTTCTGTTCATGACAGGACCAATGTGCTCATGAATGGACAACAGCTGTGGTTATGTATACAGACTTGCACAAGATTGAAACAGTCAACAACGTTCAGCATTGGGGGGCAGGGGCTCATGAACACCATATCTAGCTGAGGAGCAACTGGTAGCTGAAAACTGCTAGGTGAGGGAGCATCAGTTGCCTTTAGGGGTGTGGTTCCTGGAAGGCAGACTGTGTTCCAGTGGATCAGCCCATACCACTGGTATATGGGCAAGAGATACAGACACACAGACACACGCACAAGCACACACACTCACATGTGCACACAGAGCACGTGGAGTTGAGTAGAGGTGGCGAAGTGGGGACTGGATCCAGGAGGAGCTAGGAGGAAGAGCAGCCGTGACTCTGATCAATTATGCATGGAAGAAATTCTCAAGAATAAATTTAAAATATTATATGTTAAAAAAATTACCCTGGACGAAATTACACTCTCTATTTAACAAAGATACGACAAAAATATTGTTTTACCTATTATCTATGCCATTATTGACTATGTCCATTTTCCACAATTAGCTAGGGTGATCTGTCATTTTCAAAATGTAAGTTTAAGCTTGTTCTCCTCATGGATTGGAGAGATAGTGGTCTGAGTGAATATACTGCTCTTGTGGAAGGATCTGAGCTCAATTCTCAGAACCCATGCCAGGTAACTCACAACTGCCTGTAACTCCAGCTCCAGGGGGATCCCATGCCTTTGAGCTCTGTGAACACCTGCACTCACATGCACATACAGACTGGCACACATAAGCATACGTAATAAAAAATAAAACCTTTCAACTTGTTCCTCTCCTTCTTAGCATCCCTGAACTGGTCCCACCCAAATCTTTGGTAAGTTGTAGCGGAGGCAGTAACAGGGTGCACCCCCTTTCCAGCCTCTCTCTTACCTGCTGCCCTAATTCTGAGTGCTCCTGGTCTTTTCATGTTGTTCTCATCAGTTCTCCCTTCTGTGGCATTTGATGGCCCCAGCTCTTTCCTGAGCACCACCTGCTCTTCTGCTCCCACATGACTCTCACTGCTAACTCAGGGTTTATTTTAGGCATCGATTGTTCAAGACACATTCCAGCATTTCAAAACTCAGACTAATTCTCACGGCATTCTAGACCTGTGCTTTGTCAAGACTCATCACACTTGGAATATTTTAAGTGTGGTAATGTCAGCATGCCCCTCCATTAGGATGTGTACCTCCACACCAACAGAAGCAGTATCTAATTTCTGTTCAACACTGTAGTCACAACATCTGCACAACGCCAGGCACAAAGCTATATGTCTAGAAAACATTAGATAAATGAGTAGAGGAATAAATGAACACAGTTTCAGCATATTAAGTCCAGTGCATGAAAAATCCCACTGTTTGTACAGACATTTAGCCATGCTCAATTACTGGTTGCTTTGAAAATTGTGAGCACGCAATATACTTTGAAACTATAACAAGGAAAACGTCAACATCTGACATACATATCTAGAGTCTTATAGAAATGATTTTATGGAAGAGTTTTATATTTTTGTAGAGACTATAAAAATAACATAGTTTATTTATAATAAACTGTAGGGGAAAACACTGTTGTTTGCTTTGGGCCATGGAATATACGGAGTGAATAAATTAACCAGAAAACAAAAAAACAAATCACTACACTCAAGTGTAGAGTATTTGGGCAAAATTTCATTATGCAACTAATAAATGCTCTATACAAGGGATGGGCCAGACTACATACTAGATTCTGAGACCACAGAGTAAATAAAGTACATACTTAACACTCAAGGGTTCGAAATGAGATGACTTGATACAAAGATTTTTAATACTTAGAGGAGTGTCGGCATCTTCCAGGATATGAACACAGTAAGAGACTTCAATGCCCACATGACTTACATGGCATGTACAGACCTCTTGTTTCTTAGGCCTACATCTGAGCTTCTCTCCTAAGCTCTGTCTCTAATGAAACATTTCATTACACATGGCTGAGATCTAAGAATAGAAGATGAATGAGAGACTTATCTGGACAAGGCTTACTACCTACAATGGAGAAGGAGAAAAAAAAGGGCTGGGAATTCTGTGTTGTCATAAACACAACTGCACAATGGATCAAGAACTATGGAAGCAAGAACAAAGCCATACCAAGGCAGGAAGGTAGGATGTGAACACTTCATCATAAAGAAGGTATAATTTACTCTTCAGACTTTGTCAAACTTCCTTACTTTTCCAGACGGTAGAATACAAGATTGTGCAAATTTATGTAGCTTTACTGATTCTTTCTGTGAAATCTAGCCTGCTGTCTAGCCTGGCAGTGCTAGAGCCTTGGTCATCCTAGATAAATGTTCTATCTCTTACTGTCTGACAACAAAGTAATTCCTTAACTATCAATCATAAAATGTAATTAAAGTATTGGCATCTTATTTTTACATTTAAAATTTATAAAGCTTCAAAGCTAGACATACATCTGTGATCTTAGCACTTGGGAGGCTGAAGCAGGAAGACTGCCAGTTCAATGCCAGCCCCTAGAATATAAGGAGACCCTATCCCTCAAAATCCAAGCTCACACCTCAAAAAAAAAAAAAAAAAAAAAAAAAAAAAAAAAAAAAAAGGGAAACTCCCGCTCCCACTTGTATAGTTTTATAACTTGTCAGTTTTCCTAATGTTAAGGATAGGTTTGAAGATAAAATAATTGTTCCGAAAATACATTTTGTATGTAAATTTAAACTGATTTTCTTTTTTAAAATATAAAGCACAAACTCCTAGTTTAGAACTAGACGTTTTCCCGTTTCTGTAGTCCCACTCTGCTTTTAACTTCTTCATCGCTACTTTGTGGGGATAAACAGCAAGGTTTTCAGACTAAAAATAACACATCAGGAAAATCCATGTTAAGAAAAAGTAACATGTATCTTTTTCCAAATCTAGAAGATGGAATTTTGTTAGTACAATAAAAATAAGAAGAGAATACACAGTGAAGCACACCCACAAAACTTGGCATTATCAGTTTAGACTCTGGTGTAATCTATAAAATTCTTACAGAAACAAAATTACATTGAAAAAATGTGTGCTAACAAAACCTCATGGACTAATCAAAAAAGTACATTAAGTCAAGAAGTTTCGAAAATATGGTTCTATATACCCCCTAACATCTGATGATTCAGTTTTCTGATATCACAGATGTTTGTTGAATAATGAACAGGACAACAATAAGGACAGCTAAGACTTATTGAGCATGCAACTTGTGCTGGGCACTGTGAATAGTTTAGATGTGCGGTGGACAACGATTCTAAGACTCAAGTGCCATTGTTAAGCCCTATTTTAAAGACAGAGGAAAAGAGGCCAAGAGGTGTTAGGAAGCAACAAGGCCAGGGTTTAAATGAAGGCTGCTGATGCCTAAACCCTTACCACTCGACTATGGAAAATCATTATGTCTAGTTAATAATTAAGATTTAGAAAAAGTTTTACATAAGAATTCTAAAAGAAAACTTAAATTGCTTCTTCCATATTACAAAAGTCAAAGCTCTGGAGTCAGAAGAGGTGAAGACACTGTAATTAAGTCATGACAGGCTTTATTAAGATGATTCCAAAATTAGAGCAAGGTAAAAATATTTTCTTTGGTATGAATTGCTTGGATGTCTTGGGGGGAGGCAATCTATTTATTAGTGGACTAAGCTATCATTTGCACAAAGATCAAACTAAATATGGACTTAGACTGTTACTTAATTGCTTAATGTCATACTGGAAAAACAAAGTCCCATACAACCATACCTTAGCAAAAAATACGGTGAGGTGAGTTTCACTGCCAACAATCCAAATTGGGAATTTTGGCGATTTCAAGTAAGAACCAACCTAGAACAAATTTAGCAAAACAAAACAAAACAAAAAAATGAAAAATTTATACTGCCTGTTAAGTACTTGTTCACAAATGTTTGAAACATAACTAAAGTGTCCAATTAATATTTAAATACAAGAAAGCATTAGGAGAGAGTACCTCATCCTCAGAGATTTAATGCTGAATTCATAAGGGAAATATTCCTAAGGTTACATTGCAACTTTGAATTAGAGCACAGTATACAGACCTGGATTTATACATATATAACACAGCTAGATATAAGTAGTCTAGCCCCAGAAAAAATTCTCAGGTTTTGATAAATTTCTCAGATAAAAATATGACTTCTTGCTGGGCGTGGTGGTGCACGCCTTTAATCCTAGCACTCGGGAGGCAGAGGCAGGCTGATCTCTGTGAGTTCAAAGCGGCCAGCCTGGCCTCCATAGTGAATCCAGGACAGCTGGGGCTACAGGGAGACCCTGTCTCAAAAAGACCAAAAAAAAAAAAAAAAAACAAAACAACAACAACAACAAAAAGACTTCTTAAATTTCACCTTGGCACATCAAACTCAAAGCCAAGTATTTATAATTACTTGATAAGGAATAGAACTATAAATTAATACGTAAGACAGGGGAAAAGAGCATCCTTTTTCTTAATTAGTTTAGGGTAATATGATAATTTTTCTGAAAAAAGAATATAGTACAATAAAAATGCACAATGTTTTTTGACTCCGTGATAAATTCAAGGTTCTACAACATGAATAGTATCTTTAAAATGTATAAAAGGCTATACTTATAGTTTGCCTTCAAGGTTAAATACCTATTTACAAGACTGTGCCAAAACTCTGAAAGTATTTTATATACGTGACTGAGATATAAAGGTTTAATACTGAACAAATAAAGATTTACAAGACATTATGTTTACCCTAAAAATTCCACAATTTTTTTTTTTTTTTTTTTTTTGTCTTTTTGAGACAGGGTCTCCCTGTAGCCCCAGCTGTCCTGGATTCACTATGAAGACCAGGCTGGCCTCGAACTCACAGAGATTCACCTGCATCGGCTTCCCGAGTACTGGGATTAAAGGTGTGCGCCACCACTCCTGGCTAAAATTCCACCCTTTTATGAGGACAGACACCATCACTTAGAAACCAATCAGCTTTTGTCCTCATACAGATTGCCTATAATTAGGATATTCCAAGTGGCTACTTGAGCAGTTGGGCCCAATGATTCTTTCCTAAACAGTCAGCAGTCTCTGCTTCTACGCCATGGCTCTGGGACTTCATTATCACCACAGGGAGGTGGAAAAGAGGTGTTCTTGTATTCATGGACAGAAATCTCAGTTCTATGTCCTGTGTTAGAAGGGATGGTCAGATGTACTAATTCAGCACTGTGGAACCAGTCAAGTAGGAAGAATCCTTTGAGCACAGTAAAGAAAAGGAAAAGGAGGGAAGACAGTGTGCTCAGTGCTGGTGGCAGAGGGACTGTAGTGATGAGCAGCACTAGTCCTTCAACTGCCACACAGAAGCAGAGACTACGCTGCTCACAAGCCCTGACTACAGAGATAGAATCACATCCAGATGTTCTGACTCCCAGGCTGGAGACTGCAATCACGTAGCGGACAGTCTAGATATTGCTCAATTTCTCTTAGAGGAAAAAAACCCATGTACATTTAAAAACAATACAGAGGTTTAAAAAAAGAAGATAAGATTTTCTAGTAGGATTAAAGGATAAACGAATGCTGAATTCATGAATAGTGTCCTCACTTTGGAAAACAGTTTGACAGTTCCTCAAAAGCTGAACAAAGAGCTACCATTGGCCAAGTACTTTTATTCCTGAGTACAAACTAAGGTGAGAGCATACACCCACAAAAATGTGCATGTGAATGTTAAGGGTAGCAGTATACTTTTAATAGTTTTTTATTTATTATTTTTATTTTATGGATATAAGCGTATTGTCTCCATGTACTTGAGTGCACCCGTGTCATGACACAGAGGTCAGAAGAGGGCTTCAGAGTCCCCTGGAACTGGAGTTAAGGACAGTTCGTAGCTGCCATGTGGGTTCTTGGGAATCAAACCTGGGTCCTCTACAAGAGCAGACAGTGCTCTTAACTGTTGAGCCATCTCTCCAGCCCCATGGGGTAGCAGTATTCTTAATAGGTAAAACTGGAAATTATCTCTCTTAAGTATTCAATCTGCTATGTGACTCCCATGATTTAACCTGTTTAAAGTTTTACAATATGAATAGGCTCTTCGAAACGTATAAATAAAAGCATCTATCAGTTGATGGGTGGAAACAAAACTGATTCTGTACAAAACATGGCCCTTATCTCACTGTAAAGAGGAACAAAGAATTAAAGGTGATGGCTGCATAACTTTATGAATAGACCGAAATCCATGGAATTATATACTTTAAAATGCTGAAATTTTGATGTGAGTTATGTCTTTTTTTAAGTACAGAGTCAGAAGCACCATTCTTTGTTGGTGTGTCCATAGAAGGGTTAGAAATACATACTGCTTCATTTATGTAACTCAATATATATGGTCAAAATGGTAGGCAAAATGTTAATTTCGTCACTAGAAAAAATCTGCTATACTTTCAAAGAATAGGGAAATTGTCAGATTTATATAATTAACACAAGCATAATTTACTTACTTTATACGATTTTTCTAATTTTCTGGTGAAAAGTAAATACATGTAGATTCTGAGGACAGAAAAAATTTGTACACACAAAATTTTTAATTTTTAATTCAAAACTGCCAGTTCAGTTTTGAGGCCCTGGATATAAGCTGGTCAGTTTCCTTTAAAAAGGCCAGCTGATTAAATTCTTACTTCAACCACTCCCTTCATAGGCCCCTCATACTCTAGGCTTAGTCTGCTTGCTTGTATGCCAGGGGCTAGACAAATAGTTACTATCCCATAGCCTAGAATCTGCTAGAATTATTCAAATTAGCCAAACATAGGAGCCCAGGAACCTGGTCACCCACCCCATTTGCCATGCATAAGTTGTTCCATGTTGCTGCTACCCTGTCCCCAGACAGAACCTTGTGTGGCCCTGCTAGACAGTCCTCTTTACCTCTCCTTTATAAGCAACAGTGCATTGTGCTAGGGCAGTCGAAAAATCCTTCAGGAGACTACATCTTTAGGAAAGACAACAGAAGAATTCAAGATTTAAAAAAAAAGTAAGTAAAAAGGTCATTATGGAGTAGTCATCACTACGAAATAATGTGACAAAGACTAACTGAGGAAATGTCAGGAAGTAGCTCTTCTGATGTAACTTGAAATCAACCAAAAGGGAAGAGTCAGCCATCCACTTAAAGAGCTAGAATACTCTTGGTGGAAATGACAGCAGGTACCAAGCCTGACTGGTAAAGAGACTGGCCAACAGGAGTCTGTGAGTGTGTGAATATGTGTGTGTGCAGGGAGTTAGCATGGGTGCACACTTCCTTTAGATGAGTGTGCATATTAGAGATATGGGACTCAGTTTGAATCTCTGGTTGCCAGGCTGTCTTACATTTTACTTGGTATAATTAAAATGCCTGAAGAAAAAGGAGTTATCTCTGTTTACAGTCACTACTGATGAGTAAGACCAGGATAGATCCTGTGTGGCTGTTGTTTATGTGTTGACATGAAGAAAGAATGATGTCTGGCAAATAGCAGGAAGAGTAAGAAGCACAGGCATGTGCACATGATCCACACAGAACGGAAGAGGACAGGACACTCCTCATTGTCACTAAAAGAGTCATCACTGTCAGAGCCGCTGTATGGAAGGGCCGCTTTAAAACAGACAAGTCATCACTGTCAGAGCCGCTGTATGGAAGGGCCACTTTAAAACGGACAAAAACAGGCCCACTTCTTACTCTGTTCAAGATTATGACATCTTAGTAAGTGGAAATAAAACATTTGAAACTATCCGGAATATTTGATGGTTATTTCAGATTGCATAGGAAGGCACGTCTACACCAATAAATGAAGGCTTCAAGGCAGTTCCTAACCCTAGCACATGTGCTAAAATAGTTTGACGTAAATGCTTAACATTTTTTTTTTAGTGTGGTATCATTTTTTCAGATGGAAAAGATAAAAGTATTTCAGGCATTTAGTAAATTCTTTTTCTTTGAAGTATTACCCTTTGTTTTGGTGAATCATACTGTTTGCTAATGGAGAAAAAGTACTCGTTTCCGTCAGCTTAAGAAAAATATTTATCTCCATTCTCCATATTATTTTATTCTGTGCACTGCTCCCCGATTCCCCTCATAGGAATGATCACCCAGCTTAATTTCTTTATTGCCTTGTCGGTTTAGGTTGGGAGATCAACAAGAGGAAGGGATAGTAATGTACAGTAAGAGCAGTAAGTTAAAACAAGCTATCATAATAACAAAAATAATATCCACAACTGTGGATATATTCAAATCCTCAGAAACAGTTTACCTTACAGTATCGTAAAGCTTCCATTAATGTTAAGAATCCTACTGCTGCTTGTTCACGGATACCAAGAAGTTCTGCAAAAAATAAAATGAAATTTAGCACTGCATTAGTATACATAAATCCAAGTAGTAGTTATATATGTGTGCATATATATAAATATATGTATATTGAAATCATACCAAAATGTTTATGTTCCCCTAAAACTATGATCTAAAACTTAGCACATTAAAAGGTCACATCAAACGATCATGCTCTCACAACTCATTATTAAATACCGCTAGATAGCTTTATGATGAGTAAATACAAAGCTTCAAATGTACAATAAAAGTACTTAGAAAACTATGTTGAATGTTAACTTTTTAATGAAAATTTCCCGGAAATCCAAAGAAATTATTATCCAGAATTTAAAAATTTATATCCATGAAAAGAGCTACTGAACTGACCCTGATTTTGAAAGAAAACACTCAGCCACATTGATCATAATCATTAGCATTTATCATTGGGCAGCACTGAATGTACTTGCACAGTGCTTAAACCATGGACATTTCAAGTTGTTCCTTTCCACTGTAAATGAACATGGGCAGTTTGCTAGAGGATAGATAAACATGATGACTAGGAGGTAGTCTCTGCCTTAGTATCTTAGGCTAAAAGTACACAGAGAAGGTAGGGTGGTGGTTGGTGAAATCTGGTTAGTGTTTGGAAAGTCTTATAAGAATGGCAACATTTGAACATTCCATGGCATGTATAGGAGTTTTCTAGGCCAGAAAAGATAAGAAGAAAACTTAAAATCAAGAAGCATTAAACAGGTGTGTATATAAGGAATGAACTCTTGTCAAAGCTTTCTTCCCCCTCCTCCTCCTCCTCCTCTTCTTCCTCTTCCTCCTCCTCCTCTTCCCCCTCCTCTTCTTCTTCCTCCTCTTCTTCCTCCTTTCCCTCCTCCTCCTCTTCCTCCTCCTTTTCTTCATTTTAAATATGGGGTGTCACAATGTTGTTCATGCTGGCCTTGAACTCTTGGTCTGGAGTCCTTCTATTTCAGAATCTCCAGTACCTATAACTACAGGTGTGTGAATATTATGCTTAGTTCTTAAGTTTCCTTAAACATATACAGTGTGGTGAATGTGATAAACAGTGATTAACCAAAGAAAAAAGACAAAAGAATTTAGGAAGTGTATTCTGTAAAAACAGAACATGACTTTCCTTTTATACGAACTGGGGTTGAGCTACTTTGAGGACTTCTGATTTGGGATAAGAAGCTAGCATTAAAGCTCAGAAACAGGACATACAAGTCAGGTAACAGAGTTCAAGTTCTAGAAGTGGGGAAGACATAATAAAGCACAGGGGATAAAGTAAGACATTGCTCCAAATGCAGGTGGGACTGAGACAGTAATAAAGTCTTTTCATAGATTATAGCCTTTAGCTAATGTACGTTAAGTAGAACTATATTAGGGCCATACCCAAATAAAACTTTTTCCTATTTAAAAATTCTATTACAGTCAACAAATGTGCATATAACTGTGCATTCTTTTCATCATCTTGTCATGTCTCACACAATTTGTCAATAGAATATTGTATTTTCTTTTCAACTGACATAATGCTAACTCAGTCATTTGTTATAGATACTACATATGTTTTAAGTACAACCCCTACATGATGTAAGCCAAGAACTAGTATACAGAGCAAAAAGACTCACACAGCATACATACAGTCTTCATTTTGCCACTTGCTTCTTCTAGGCCTAGATAAGACAGTAATATTGTGACTTAGGTCTCTTTGAGTCCAAAGATCCTTTTAGATACACAGGGGATGAAAATGACTATCAGAATATGATGTTAGCTCCCTATTTAATTTCACAATTTTATGAGTATAGAGTTGAGTTCTATAGAGGCAAAAGAATGTGTTCTTATATTACAGAATTCATAAACAGACATAAAATCCAGCTGTCTCATAATATATGTTCAAGGAGGACATGGAGACCCCACAAGATAGACTTGAGCCAGTGTCCAGTCTACAAAGAGGAGGGTTAACTCAGAGGAAGCATCTCATTCATGCCTCCAAGTAAAGCCAGATATGGTCGAGCAGGACCTTTTGACTTATCCTCACATAGATTGAACTGGTAAAAGGAAGGAGCCAGGAGCTCTTCCTAAGCCCATGTGACCCCTGAGGAACAGATCCTCAAATGACCTTAAGTGTAAAAATAAATCGATTTATTTGGGACAACTGTACGGTCTTAAACACCCAAAAGGAAAGTATAAAGAGTAAAGAGTAAAGAGTAAAGTCATCAGTAGTTCACTTTAAGAGTTCAAGGGATTACACATAGACATTAACCTATATAAAAGTATATAAAAAGTTATTTAGACAATTATTTCTCATTGATGATTTTGTTCCTAACCAGAAAGTGCTGCTCAGATGTAAGACTTCAAATCTTGGTCTCCAATACTGTAGTGCCCACCTGTAGCTAAGGGAGACAACCAGCTATTGTTCTAAACTGATGGATAAATTTGTTTTCTCCCCCTATTTAGAAGCCTTTGAGAAGGAACTGATACTGATTCTAACCTGAAAGCAAATCCTGAATCCATCACTCTAGAGTCCGGCCTTGGAAGACAGAAAAAAAAAAAAAAAAAAAGAGTAGGAACCCAATAGAGGGATGCTTTTGGAAGCCCTTGTCAAGAAATTCCAACGGGCTCTCATATGAACATTTGAAAATTGCCCTATTCTGACTTTTTTTTCAGTTCCCTGTGTAGGACTTGTAATGCTAAGTACTCTTGCCTTTACTTCTCCTTCACAGCTCCTATTCACGATTCAAGGACTTTCTATTCCTCTTAGAGATAAAAGTTATGCAATTTGGGAGTTTAGATAGACCCACTGAAGGGGTACTCCAGTTGCCTCACCCTGCAACCCTGTTCAGCATGGAAGAAGCCAGAGTAGTCTGCATCCTGATTCCCTATTGGCAATTTGGGTAACCTCTTCAGAGGATGATGTGATAAGAAGGGGAGGTAGGAATCGGCTAGGAAGTTAGGATAAAAAGACCCCAAAGAAAAGTAGCCAGTTTCTTGGCTAAAAGTTAAAATGTCTTGGGCCTCTTAGCAACATACTCTGTTCCAAAGGCCAAAAATGTCGAAAGTATTTGGGAGCTTATATCTAATCCTTAAAAGATTTTAGGGTTACCTCTTCAGAAGGGGGAATGTTAGAGTTGCCAAAAGCCCCACAAAAATAATCAAAGAAAAAAAATTGTGCTATATACATATGTATTAAATTACTTTTACATTTAAACCTAAAAAGAAGATTCTAGAGATTAAAGATTTGAAAAAAATTATAAGGAATTGTTTCAGAAATTAACGTTTATATTGTTTTATTTATATTAACAAACAATGGGTATATTGCTATTTAAAAATAAACATACATTTGAAAACTTCTCAGGTAGTTTCTCAAATGAAAAATATTGATCACCATTGGCTTATAATCTGTTGAGTGAAATCTATTTGGTAGCCTCAATAACTTTTAGCAACATAAAGGGTATAAGGTCAAAATACTTTTTTAGTCTTTGTGTTGAGGCAGTTAAGAGGGTGTGAGTATGAAGAAACAGCAGAAATGGGTAAACACATACTTTGTAGTTACGTGCATGCTGCTTTTCCCTTTCCTCTAAAATGTGAGCAGTACATGTTTTCATGTTCAAAGACAAATAGGTATGCTGAGTATTTTCACAATTTGATTTCTAAAATCAAGTATCACCACCTAGTGTTACGATTAGATACTACATCATCTGTTGCTTGAGTTTAAACAAATGTCTAGAATGGCACATTTATCATACCATGTTATTAAATACAGAAAATTGGGCTTTCATAAATCTTAGGTGAAGAATTATATAGAGTGGGAAGGTAATTACATGCTCAGATATGTAGTTTGGATGATATTTCTTTTTTCCTCCTGATTATTTTTTAAATAAAATCTCATATACCCCAGGCTGGCCTCAAACTTGCTATGTAGCTGAGGATGGCCTTGAACTCCTGATCCTCCTGCCTCTACCTCAAGTGTTGGGACTATAGGCACACACCATCATACCTGGTACTAGAGGATAATATTTTTAAAATGAATAATTCCTATCCCCTAAAACAGGTTTAAAACTATCTCCTTGAGATAAAGCGCATCATTAAGAATATACCTAATTTATTAACTTTTTATACCAAGCTGCAATTCAGTAAGGATATGATATTCTCATAATCTAACTTACAGAATTTATTTGTATCAGACCTTCTCAAAGTCTCAAAGAAGTCTATTTGCCTTTTGCTTACAAGAAACACTTCTTGTGGTTACATATTCTTTCTTCACCAATATTAATTAGTCATCTCATAAGAGAGCTGAAGACTCATCCCAATCCTTGACTGCATCTCAAGACTGCTGTGCGGGCTAAGTGCACCAGAGAAACAAGCTACTGCTTGGTCAAAGACAATAGCCACTCTTATAAGTTACAAATAAAAGTTGCATATACAATTTGGGAGTCTTTTAGATAGACCCATTGAAGGGGTGCTCCAATTGCCTCACCCTGTGTCCCTGTTCAGCATGGAAGAAGCCAGAGTGGTGTGTGTCCTGATTCCCTACAGGCAATTTGGGTAACTCCTTCAGAGGATGGTGTGATAAGAATAGGAGGTAGGAATTGGCTAGGCAGTTAAGGTAAAAAGAACCCCCCCAAAAGTAGCCAGTTTCTTGGCTAAAATTCACAGTGTCCTTGGGCCTGTTAGCAACCTACTCCATTCCCAAGGCCAAAAATGTTGAAAATATTTGGGAGCTTTTATCTAATTCCTTAAATGATTTTAGGGTTACCTCTTCAGAGGGGGAATGTTAGAGTAGCCAAAAGCCCCATAAAAAAAAAAAATCAAAGAAGAAGAAAGAGTACATGAAGTTATCAGAAAAAAGTGATGGGGAGATATGGGAGGAGTTAGAGGGGAGGGAGTGGGCATGGATTTGATCAAAACACCTTATATGCATGTATGAAATTCTCAAATTATTTTAAAAAGTTGCATATAGAGTACAACATGTCCAGAAATATGCATTCATTGAGAATAGAGAAATCAAGCTT